TGATTTTTAGAAGCCAGAAAACTAGAAATATCAACAGTGCCTTCACCAATTCAGGACCTCCCGACTGTTAGTCAGACATGCTTTTCAGTTACACCACAAAGGAAGGGAAAAACCTTACACTCTTTCTGACTTAAAAGGTGACTAGGAAGGAAGACTCAGTTGCCAAATCCTGATGGTGATGAATTGTCATCCACCACCTTCTAGTTTGTACATCACTTGTAAAGTAGTATATTATAATTTTTAGAAGCCAGCAAACTACAAAATTCAACAATATCTTAACGAATTTGAGCTCTGGACTTCCTGATTGCTAGCTAGACATATTTTCATTTACACCATGGGGGCACACAATAAAGAGAGATATAAACCTTGTACAACTTCTGAATTTGATTCTTAATGAGGGCATCTTTATTAAATAAGTGTAAAAAAATTAAAATAAAAATTAAACTCATTCTTTCATCTTAAAATGCATTTCCCTATGTAACATATTTTCACATGTGCTTAAAATTCTAATTTACAATGTGAAGAATTGGACTGTAATCATTACTAATATAATTAATGATTATTACTGTTACATTAATAAATTCTAGTAAAACAATTTGGAAAATTTTAAAAGTCTTTTTCTGTGCAAATGCTGCTAATTTTATATCAATCAAGGTTTTATACCTGCACTTCTACTCTTTTAATCAGCTCCACCAAAAGTACAAATTAAGAAGTTTAACTAATGAATGACAATTTAAATTTAGAAAGGGAGTATTCACAGTTCACTATAACTCTCGTTTTCCTCCCAACTGGTTAGCTATGCCTGATTTACAGACAATTTCAGGCTTTTGTAGCTGAGTTTAGAAATCGTGCTGAAATTAGTTTGATTGGTAATTTGAATACTGCAAAGCACATGGTGTGCCTAAGGGCAGAGATGCCTTCGTGGAGAATCATTCTGGCTCATTTTCGGATTATATTTGGGGAAAACCAATCGTGCAGCCAGCCTATTTGTCTGGGTTAAGACTCAAAAAGGGCAAGCTACCAATAATCAGAAATCATTAATAACTTGGTTACTAGTAGGCCCACTTAAATTAGGATCCAGATTTTTAATCTTTAATTTACTAACTGATTTGTAAGTATTAAAAATATTATATTCTCATGTACAAAAAGTAGAGTTTAAGTTTTGTTAATGTGTTAGTTTGCAGACTGCCAAACCATAGTGCAAATGAACTCTAGGTTCATTTGCTATTACTGTATTCACTTCATTTTCTTGGAATCTAAAGAAGAGATGATAATTTCTCTGCATTTGGGGAAAACTAAACAGGTTTACACTGCATTATATTAAGTGATATTAGGTTTGGTTTATCTTACAATCAGAAGTGCCAAAACAATTATACAGTTTTAAATGTTTGGCACAGTAGGCACAAATGACTGAGAATAAAAAGCGTGATTTTTAATCTTAGTTTATTCAGTTGGAGACTGATATTTTAAATGTGCTGTATAGGATGACAATAAATATTCTATGAACCACTTCATAGAATCATTTTCCTACCAAAAGTAAGTATGTCCACTTAGTGATCCAGAATAATATCTAGATTTGTCTCTGCAGTTATTTTTGCTTCCTAAAACTAAAGTTGACTCTCAAAGAAAAGTTTTTCTTCACATGCAAGAAAAGGTTAAAAGAATGTGACATCTACTCTTAGACCTGTGCCAAATACAAACTTCTACAAACCTTCTGTTTAATTACCTAACACATTTATTATGACAGAAAGTTGCATCAAGGTAAACTTGCAACTTTCCCTAATTTTTAACACAATCTAATAACTTAATTGCTCCACTGTAAATAAAGACTAAAACTTTGATTACTTGAACTTTTGCAATTCAGAATTTTCGAGAAAATGATTTATGAAACTGGGAATGCAAAGATAAATCAAAGTGAATGTCAAAACACACTATTCGATACCAATACTAATTCTCAAATTTCCACTATTTCTTTTGGGGGAAGGTCTCTTCAGTTACAGCTTATTGAATGTTGACTCTGTTTAGACTGATTCTTCGTTTTTCCCCCCATAAAAGTAAAAATTCTATGCATGATATACATATTTCATAAGAGTTTCAGATTAAGAATTTAACAAAATAATCTAAACCTTAGGGGTCTCACAGTTTTGGTCATATTGCTTTTCTGTTTATCTTTCTTTGTTTTGAATAAAAAATTCTAATTTTTCCAGGTATAGTATACTGCCTACATATAAATACTTTAAGATGATGATAAAAAAATTATAGGTTGTTATTCAATTTTTTTTTTTTTTTTTTTTTCAAAAAACACAAATTTAAAAAATAAATCAGAAAAAATGTATGAATTTTATTTGATGAGAACTAAATTTTGAATAATGAAAAAAAAATCAAGTATGTTTAAGAAGCAATATTATCAAATACATATGAAATTCAATTAACATTGCAGGGTTAAAATTTTGAGCACTAATTTAAAAAAAGCTACTGCTGCATTGTTACAAAACTTCGCACTATGGCATGATCTGTGGTGCAAAATAAAGTCAGGAAAAAATGGCACGTCATTTCCGAAAAAGTCTGATTTTGTGTCAAAATATGCAGATTATAATAATACTATGCATAAATCTAATATGTCCTAAGTTGCACTTTTGAGACATGAAAAAGACAGGTTGAATTTCATTGATTGGCTGACTAGAATGGGAGATATAAAACTGACCCCTCTTTTATTTTGACTGTGCATGCCATATGTTTTGAGCACAGCCTATTTTTAGATTATCTCATTACTTAACAATACTATAAATCTATCTATACTCCAGTATAATAGAATAATAGCTATTATACCATAGACACATCAAACTATAATTTACAAAAGGAAATTATACATCATTGTAAATAAAAAAGCATCTAGCAACACAAAAGCATAATATAAAGCAAAGATAAATTAGTAGGTTCATTTATATTAGCTTATTTACTGTCTATATTATAGAATATAAAATGGAACAAAATGCATATAAATATAAATATATATATATATATATAGTGGCTTACAAAAATGATAGGACATTTGAATTTTTGCATTTTTTAATGAACATAAAAACAAAAATAAATTAAAACAAAAAATACTTTTAATTTGATTATAAATAAATTAAACATTTTTACATTAAAATAAATTTTCAAAAGACAAAAATTAAATTCAAAAATCAATATTGTTTGTTTAATGAAGAAAAATATTCTCACAAAAATAATCAGACACTTTTAGTAACAGCTAAAAATGACAAAAAATTACATTGTTTTTGCTACTTAATATCTTGTGGGATTACCTTTACACTCAATCACTTCATTTAATATTTTGGGTGGTGACCCCACTAGTTTTTTTGTTATTTTCGGATTTATTTTATGCCACTCCTCTTGAATCACTGATTTTAGGTGCTGCTCTGTTTTTGAATTTCTGACTCTGGTTCCTGCCAAATATGTTCAATAAGATTAAGATCTTTCGATACAGGTGGTGCCTTAATTACTTCTGGACACTTATATAACAGCCAGAGTCTAGCATTCTGTGCAGTATACTTTGGATCATTATCATGGTAGAATTTAAAACAGTTTTGTAAATTAAGTTTTATGTGCCAACAAAGACAAATTTTCCATAAAGATGTCAACATACTTATACTGGATCCATAACACCATCTATAAACTCTATATTACCAACACCGGAATGTGCCATAGATCCCCACACCATAACTCCTCCTCCATCATGTTTAATACTTGGTGACTTCTTGCTTCTGAAATTCTTCTTTGTGTTTTCTCCACACTAGCACTTGTCCATCTGAGCTGAAAGATGTTAGATTTGCTTTCATAAGCAAACAACATTTTTTCCCAGTAGTCGGGTGTCTTCCGTTTCAGTGATTTTGCAAAAACAAGTCAAAGCCTTTTTTTTTCTTCCTTAAACAAGGTCAAGGTTCCCCTACCCCCAGCATAAAATTTTCTTCTTGTTACTTGTCCATGATATCTTGCAAATTAGATTATTGTTCTTACAGTTCTGGATTTACACATATTCCATATAATTCAACAAGTTTCGCAACGAGTTTAGAAGCACTCAGTCTTTTTTATATTCCTTATTTTTATTACTTTTTTATATTCCTTAGAATAAAGTGCTTTATTCCATAACTTAAATGGTCTTCCAGGTCTTCTTTTGTTTTGAATACAATCCTGTTTTTTATAACGCTTAATAATATATATCAAAACTATAGAATTACTGAAATTACATAAATAGGCCATTTTTCTAATAACTTTTTTTCTTTTGATGCAAATCAATAACTAATCTGTAGGTTTCTAGCAATGTTTCCTTTCCTGACCATGCCATTGCAAAAAAATATTAAAATAACAGATATTTTTCTAAAAAGAAATTTGAATTTGCAATAATCTAATTTGCAAAACAATTTTTAGATTTTTGCCTAGCTTTTTTATCCAAACTAATTTCATGAAATTTCGTTTTTTATTAATTTCAGATGGCTTTAATTAGAAATTGTCTGATTAATTTCGCGGTATCTTTTTTTTTTTTAAATTTAAGTATAAAACATTATTTTTTAAATTTACTGTTAAATTTTTTCAAATTTATTTAACACAAAGAGAGAGAGCTAAGAAAATATGTAATCAAAGGGAAAATATTCTTTATTATTTTATTTCAAAGCTTTTCTCCTTCTTATTTAAAAAAAAAAAGTATAGCAGCCGATCATTTTTGTGAGACATTGTATCATGCTCATTGATGTAAATAGTTTTCAGATCATGCAATTAATATTCAAAGAAAAAAGCTACTAATTATAAGGTTATGATAGATAAAAAGATTTTTCCACTTTTGTTAAGAAGTGCAGCTAAGCAAAAAAAGAAAAAGAAAAGAAATTCTGACCAAAGATTTTTTTTTTTTTCAACATGAAAAGTCATAAAATGATTCTTAGCATTTAAGGCTTAAAAATTGCTACTCACCAGAATTAAAAACTATATAAGAAATGACTCACCTAATTGTGCATGCTTTACCTGCAAAAGAAAAGTTTGAAGAATTCACAAGCAAATACGTACTTAACGAATAAATCTTACGATGATGATTTACATTATAAGTGCTATTTATTTGTATCAAATTGATTATAAATTAAATGACAGCATATAAATATTGAAAAACAATTAATGGCATATGTATATATGGTTTAGTCAAATGAAAAAGATGCAATAATGCTAAAAGTTCCTCCCATAAAGATATGAAATAGGCATTCCTTTTTCAAAAGTAGAATTGATCATTCCAAATATAACAGAACAGAAATAGATTTGTAACGTCACATAGCAAGAAATTACTACATGCAATACTGTAATGTGTAGCACTGGCTTCTTTACTGTCAGATGTCATATGTACTCAATAAATATACTGTGTACAAAGGGGAACTTCAGTTACAAAATTCCATGCTTTGACCTTCACATATACATCCACTTGTTCTATGAACTAGATGTAATGATCGTATTTGATTAGCCATGTGTTGCAAATTTCTGGTAGGTTTTTCTCAACTTTCAAGAAAATGTGAGGCTGGGTTTATTATCCTCAACCAATAAAAAGCATACAACTGTTCACTAACACTTATTAAACATGTCTGCCATCTACTCAGAGATGAAGTCATGCTACATATTGCATACATTATTGTTCAATATTGCTCCTCACTGCATGATGTCATGAAACTGTTTTTCTCAACTTAAGTAAGGTCAGATCTAGATCTGAAGATAACTAAACATGGAAAATTTTAAGCATTATCATAATTTTTCATTTGATTACATCATATATAAATAGATATGGGTGTGAATTTAATTTATGTATTTCGATATATTATTCTAATATTATAGATCTACAAGCAATCCCTGGGTTACATATAATTATGGTATTCCATATATATGAATAGCCCCTTTCAAGATTCTTCATATGGATAACTTATAATTAAATTAATTTTGAACCAGTTTTTTTTTTTAAAAACGAGACGCAAATTTTTAATTGTTATAACAGAATCGAATCAAATTCTTCCACCAGTAATAAAATGAAATCTTAAATTCCCCATATGCAATAATTATTTTCAAGTTAAAAGACTTTTCTGTAGCAACAGCAATGTATCGCTTGAGAGATGATGATGTTTAGAATTCGGAAGAGACCAAATAAGCATGTCAACTTTGTCAACAATCCCCAGGTTACATATACTCATAATTATGGTATTCCATACATATGAATAGCTTCTTTCAAGATTCTTCATATGGATAATTTAAAATTAAATTAATTTTGAACCTTTTTTTTTTTTTTTTTTTTTTTTTTTTTTTTTTTTTTTTTTTAAGGGAAGCAAATTTTTAATTGTTGTAACAGAATCGAATCAAATTCTTCCACCAGTAATAAAATGAAATCTTAAATTCACCAGCACCATCTCTGTTATCTTCTGATTAATATTAGCCCTCTTATGGCTATGTTTGTAAATGCTACAAGCACACATGTGAAAATTGTCAAAAGGACTATCACAACTAGGCATAGCACAATTTCTAAAACAATCAGTAGTCAACTTTCATCAACTTCTATTATGAACAGTACCGAGCTATTGCAAAAATTCTCAGTTTATACCATTAATTAGTTTAAAGAAGATACCTGCTGATAAATATGAATGAACTATGCTAACACCTGTATCTAAAATGAGCAGTAATTATTTTCAAGTTAAAAGACTTTTCTATAGCAACAGCAATGTATTGCTTGAGAGAGATGATGATGTTTAGAATTCGGAAGAGACCAAATAAACATGTCAACTTTGAACATGCATTAGCATGCTAGAATATGAGGAGTTAGCTAGAAATTAATTATTTAATTCTTGAAGAAAATAAAGATGTGATAAATAAAGAATTTGATGAGATTGAAAATTATAAATGGAGAGTATCAAAATTATGTTACTTTATATTTGTAGTTAATGCAAATCCTAAATTAACTAATATACTAATTATTAATTAATATCCTTTAAGCAAATGAACCAATATCATTTTAGATAAGGAATTCTGGTCTGTAGTGTTGTTTAAAGTGAATGTGATGTCAAAGAGTGATCATTATTCAGTAGTTGTGGCTCAACGGCATCATTTATGAGAAAGGTCAAAAGTGGAGAATTATTGGTAGAATTGAGGGAGGTCGAACATAAATGGAGGTTGCCAAAAATGTGAATATCCCTCAAAGTGTCACATCAAGAGTTTGGAGCTGCTTTTTAAGGAATGGATCAGTTGATAGACAGACTGGTCAAGGGCGATCAAGATCAACAACTGCATCAGAAGACAGTTTTCTGTTGTTTTCGGCTCAAAGAAACCATGAAGTGACTACAAGAAATTTAGTGTTAGACCTTCATGGTGCTACAGGAATTCGAATTAGCCATTCTTCTGTTGCATGAAGGCCTAACAAGGTTGGGGTGTATGCGAGAAAAACAATGGTTTGTGTCCCACTCACTTCAGCTTCTAGAGAGGCCCTTTTAAGCTGGTGCAGTCTTTATGTTCAAATGGAGCAAAGATGACTGGGCCTGAGTATTGTTTATTGATGAGTCCAGATATAGTCTAAACAGTGATTCTAGATGTGCTTTGATGAATGCCCAACTTGCCTTCCCTTGTCCATGAAATATCTTTCTGTTATGACAGTTTAATGGTTTGGGCAGGAGTCATAACAAATGGCCACAATGAGCTGCATATCTTTCAAGGAGGTTTTGTAATTGCTTAGAGATATTAGGGTTATGTATTGGAACCCAAGTTAGACTGTTTAGGGATGCAGTTGGCCCAGAGTTTTTGCAAATGGATGACAATCAGCCTCATCGAGCACATGTGGTGTCAGAATACTCGCAAACAGAAGATATCACTCGAATGGATTGGCCACATTACTCACCAGTTTGAGCATGAGTGGGATGCCTTAGGCACCAAATTTCAACATCCCAAAGTCCTCCCTACACCCTCCAAGAGCTGAAAAGTACACTTTTAGAAGAGTGGCATGCAATTCTACAAGACTTGATAAACACTTTGGAAGAATTTATAACCAAGATGTGAGTTATGCATACCTAATCGAGGTAATTATACACATATTAAAGATTTTTTTTCCACTAGAAGTGATTTAATTTTTCAATCATTTTTCAGTTTCCATATACAATCAAAAGTCGGTAATCCGGACTCGTCGGGACTTCGGCGATTCCAGATTATCGATTTTTCCGGATTATAGATCATCAGTTTAGATCTGGTAAGATGGCATGCAGAAATTATAAAATTAAAAATATGAAACCGTAATTTATGAAATAAAGAGCAATTATGATCTAAAGGGTATCAAAAAAAAAAGCTTAATATTTATTTGTTTACTTTATTAAACATTTCTTTCAATGTAAGTTGTTTAAGTTGCTTCATTTTATGTGATAATATTTTCTCTTTAATTCTATAAACAGACATAATTTCTTGTTCAGTTACAAAGTTCTGCTGTTCAAGTCCTATAATTGCTGTGTCGAGAATACCGACTAATTAGTCAATCGAAATTTTTTCGTTTTCAATAACCTCTGTGTCACTTTCTTCACTATCGGAAGCTAATTATAATGACGAGGAATTTGATTTAAATCACATCAAAGATGGAGTACATCGAGATGAAATACTACATTTTAGTAAGGAATTATAAGCTAAATAAAATTAAAACATCTGCCCTGAAGATAAGGATAGTGCTGACAGATCAACTTCCAATTCATTACGTGCTGCAAATGAAGAGAAAAAATTCAACGAAGAGAAAATAGTCTACTGAGGAATTAAGAGTTTCCCACATGACGGTGAAAGTTATTTACTTTCTTTAGTCTTGAAGACAATTTCAAATAAAAAGTTTTCATTCAGGAAATTATATGACAGTGTGAAATTAAAACTTCGTGCTTTATAAATTATCAGCATTGCAAGAAATAAATATGTCACAATGTTGTATTGACTGGTAGAATCATCATTACCTAATATAACTCTTCACGCATGGCAAAAGTTCAGAGTTTTTCATTGAAAGCACAGAATTTGAAACAGATGAGGGAGATTGTGATCATAATAATATAGATTTCTCCTATCAAATGAATGGAATTTAGATGAGTTACTTCTATTTTTTACTTGATGAAACAGAGAGAGAAAAGCAACAGTAAATGTTTAGGGACAAACCAACCATCTAAAAGTCATAGCTCAAAAAGTGCTGATTTTAGAAGTCATAGTAAATATCCATCAACTGCATCAGTATATTCTTTGATTTTGAATGAAAAAAGAAATATTGTACACAATAGTCATAGTTGTTTCTTTTACTTAGATAAGGGTCACAGGATAGCTAAATGCTAGAAAAAAGTGTCATGTATTGCTTCTGGGAAAAAAACATCACAAACTCTTGTGTCAAAATATACAAGCATCAAAGTAGCTCTACTATTAAAAAAAAAAAAAATAGTCAAATTCCTCATAAAGATGAAACATTGGCTAATTTTTCAAAGTCCCCAAATGTTCTACTTCAAACTTTAATGGTTACTCTATCAGGGCATGTTTGTAAAAGTACAATAAGGGATATAATAAATTCTGCTTCCCAATGACCATGTAAGGGAAGACCCAAAAATAACCTGAATCATACTTCTGCACATCCTGTACTAGTAGTACAAGATTTCTTTCCTAGGGTGCTGCGGGAAGACCTCTAGTGAATCAGTATGTCACATGGTGTCAACCAACAATAATGCATGTGGTTTCTCTGGCAGTTCTGTGTGTGTGCCTGTAGTGCACTCTTGATATGAAGAAATGGCAGATTCTCACAAACAATGAGTAGCTGTGCCATTTCGTTTTTTACTCTGTAAGAATACAGCTGAAACTGTTGCAATGGTGCAAGGAGCTTACAAAAAAACATACTCTAAATGAATTGCAAGTGTACTTGGGAATGCCTTGTAGAATTCTGGCAAGTGATTCCTGCATCATGACAATGCTCCCACTTTCACAATTCACTGGTTTTTGGCCTCAACCTTGAC